AGAAGAGCAGGGTGACAACAGGAGGAGGCAGGCCCTGGGGGTGATCATGTGGGGGGGTGTCCTCCACCCTCTCTTCTGCTGTGACTCCATCTTGTCTTCCTGGACACTCCTGCGGCCTTGTTTCCTGTTATGTGTGCTGCCTGCCCACTGATGTCAGGCAGCTGGTCATTTCTCTGCTGTCACTCTAGAGGCGGCATTGCTGGACCTGCAGACCAGGACTTGCCTGGGCGTCATCTCCAGGAGCACGGATCCAGGCCTTTTCTTGGAAGCTGGTGTTTGAAGTAGGGTTCAGATGAGCAAGGGTGGGTGGCGTCTTCGGCCCCCACGTCGTGGCCAGATACCAGATGAGCTGGTGAGGCTGCGCTGCGGCCGAGCAGGAGTGCAGTCAGCCGCCCACCACTGCGGGGCCCTGCCAACGTGGGGCGGCCCCCTGACACCTGGGGACTGGCAGCTCTGGGAAGCCCAAGTCTTGGGGTCCCCACAGTGGGATGGGCGGGAAGCTGGTTTTTCTCACAGGAAGCTTCCAGGAGGAGGTAAGTGTCTGAGAGCTGCTGGTGTGCCGGGCGTGGCCGGGAGCCGTAGTGGGTGAGCACAGGTCCACTCTTGGTCAGGCGGCGGCTCCTTTGCCTGGGGATCAGGGTGGATGGTGCCCAGCTCTGACCCCAGCATCTGGAGCAACTAATTGTCCAGTGTTTGGGCCACGTGGGCCACATGTGCGGACACAGAGGTGATTCAGAGTGTTCTGGCAGCCACAGCAAAGGAAAGTGAAAGCAGGCGCAGTTAATCTCAGGAACACAGTTAACTCAGCCCGGCGTGTCCCAGGTGCCGCTCTCTGTGCACGCGGCCAGCGGGGGAGGAGGTGTTCCATGTTGTTGTTGGTAGGAGCTCTCACACTTGGAGCCGGCCTCCCCCGTGCCGGCTCTGGGCATGCTTCGTGCCCACGTGGGCCGGTACCCGCCGTAGATAACACTGGCCTCGAGTGGGCTGGCCAGTCTCACCTCTGCTTCTTGGGCATCTCTGCAGGGAAGGCTCCTGGTGTCACGGCCCAAGCCCAGGAGGTGGCCTCTCTGCGGGGGTGAAGAACACAGCAGCCGCAGCCCCCGCCCCACCCGGCCCCTGGCCCGGCCACAGGCACAGGTTTGCTGGCCTTAGAGGGAACAAGACCCCACCAATCACCCCCGGCACCGTCTTCCAGGCCAAGTGGCGCCCCGTGGCTCTGCCCGGGCAGGGGTGTGGGAGCAGGTCCAGGGTCCAGGGGTCCCGGGAGCCCTGCTGAGCTCCCTTGGAGACCCGCAGACCTTCAGCAAGACCTACTGGGGGAGGGGCGGCTCTCCTCCCTCACGCCCTGGAACGCCCAGGTCCCTGATCTTGCGCGTGGATGGGAGAGGCTGCTAATCGGCCGAGAAGGTCTGGAAGCGATCGCGGCCACTCCTCCCCTCGGCGTGTTTACAGGCCTCTCCTCAGATCCCACACTCGGGAACCTGATCCCCCTGGAGGAGCCGACATCAAAGCCGCGGCTGTTTGATGTCCAAGGCCTCTGAGGGCGGCAGGCAAGCAGGCCTTCCCGGGCGCTGCCGTGCGTTATCCCTGTTTATGATTTGTGGTCCCCCGTGTCACCATCGGGTGCCCTGGGCAGGGATCTCTGGTGAGGACTCCTGGCCGGAGACCCTGAGAGCAGAGGGGACCCCGCTTGTCCCGTGATGGGCGGTCAGCCCGCTTTCTGAACCCAGGTGTTTGTCTCTGTCGCCCTTGGGAGAAAGGGGACCCCCACGTCTCCCCACCTCCTTCCCCCTCCTGGTCCTGCGACCCTGTTTGCTGGAGCGCACCTCCCTCGCTCCTTCTCTGTATTGGCCTCAGGACAAAGAGCGCGCAGGCCCAGCTGGGGTCGTCTCCCTGGTGCTTCGGAGTCTCGGGTTTTCTTGAGGCCGGGGGTTGCTGGGGCTTGGTGGGCCAGTTCCCCCGCCGTTTGGGTCATGACCTGGCCCTGCCGCGTGTGCAGGGCCACACCTACCATGGCTGCCCTGCGTTGCTCGTTGTCCTGGTTGAGGGCCGGAAGCCTTCCCTGGGGAGCAGCTTCTTGGTAAAGCACAGGCTTGGGGAGAGCGTGGGCCGATCTCCTCCCGGGGCCCCTGCAGCAGGCTCTGGGCTGTGTGTCCTCGCCCAGGGAAACACACAGAAGCAAAAACTGAAAGTGAATGAGAGAGACAGGTGGCGAAAGGAGCTGAGCCCACACGGAGTGTGCGGTCACCAGTGTTTGGAGCGTCCGTGTGCAGTCACAGCCAGCCACTCTCCCCCGTCCTGGCGGGGTGTGTCCGTGTGAGCCCTGGGGCCTGGGGCGTCAATCTGGGCGCCAGTTCTGTAGTTCTGTGTCAGGAGATGTAGGACTCAACTTTACTTGGTTGTCACAGGCCTGCTGCCAGCCATTTAACCATCCTGAGTCAGGGCTCGGCCACGCGGTGCCCCATAACCTCAAGGGCCAGCGCAGGTCGGTGCGCGGTGGGGATGGCTGTCCCGTGGGTGTGGGTGACATTGTGTGCCCGCTCACCCGCATCCTCAAGCCTGTCCACCTGTCCTTCCCGGTGCCCTTCCCTCCCATCTTAAGCTCTGGTTTACAGGGGAGGACGTTGGTGGCGGTGTCCACCCCTCCGCTGCCCCATTTGTCTTGGTGTCACCCCCAAGCCCCCCTCAGAGTCCACATAGTGGGTTCGTGCCAAGTGCTACTGCTGCTTCTCAGGGTCCCTGGGAGGTTTTCATTGCCAACCCCAAGCACAGTTGACAGTGACCCGAGGCTTGTGCCCCTGCTCTGTGTCCTTCTTGTGCTCTGGGCCTGGAGGCAGGTGGGAGACACCCCCAGGCCACTTGCTGACGGCCAGCCATGGGGGCAGTCAGGGCGGGCAGTTTTCCACGGTGACTGGCTGGGTACCGTCCAGAGGGCCCCCGTGCCCCCCGGCAGCAGCCACCTGTGGCGCTTTCTCTTCTGTCCTTGCAGGGAGTGTCTGGAGCAGCCGTGTGAGGCCAGCCCAGTCTGCGTGTACATGAGGGGTGAGGTAGGTGAGCTGCCGGCCCGCCCGCCTGGCCCGCGCCCCGCCGCCCACTCCCTGTCTCCACGCAGGCCCAGCCCCACTTTCCAATTGGAAAATTCACTCCCTCAGACCTGCCTTCAAACCAGCGACAGGGAGACTTGGGCTCTGAAAGCGTGATGTGTTTCATGGAAAAAAGGCACGACGCCGGCTCCACTGGAACCGACCGCGGGCCGCCCGGGCTGCTCCCAAACCTCCCTCAGAGCCCTGTTTGTTTTCTCAGCTTCTCCCAAAGCCCAGGAGTCACAAAAGTGGTTTCATTTTAATAAATATTTGCTTTGCTCTGTGTTTTGATCTTTTTCAAAACGAGTGCGGCGTGGTGCAGGCTTGGCCTGGCACTGAGGCCCTGCTGTCCCCGCCTGCCCGCCCGTGACGGGGACCCTCCTGGCACTTGGTCCCCTGGCTCACAGGGGCTTTTTGTTTTCACCCTGGCCAAGCGCCCTCTCCTGGCCGGGGGTGGCCGCCATCCCCGAGGGCCCCGCGATGTGGACGAGACACGCCCACCTCTTTATCCCAGTTGGAGATTCCTGACCCAGGGCTGAGAAGGGCAGGTATTTTAGGGCTGTGAGTGGGAGGCGTCTGGGGCACGAGCCCTCCCTCCGCTGGAGGAGACAGACCACTGGGCCTCGGGCATCTGGGCCTGGATTGGGGCCATCGTGGTCAGTCCCAGCGCTCAGAGGGCTGGTCCGCGGGCCAGATTTGGCTCACCTGGCCCGAGCTCTGCCTGCCAAGCCCTCACATGGGGTGGGGTGGGGGGACCGATGCGGGCCAGCTGACAAACACGTGGGTGTAGATTAGGGTGCAGGGGCTGGACCCACGCCTTCAGGGGACCCTGCGGTACCCATGACACAGTGCCCGGCTGGAGGCAGGTGGCGCGTGGTGGGCTTGGCAGGCGGAGGGCGCTTAGGGAGGGGTCAGCAGGATGTCCTTCCCTCCCAACAGGTGACTGGCAGGGCTGCCCTGCAGAGCACAACACTGCAGTCGCTGGGCCTCACCGGGGGCAGTGCCATCATCAGGTGGGGGCATCTGAGTCTGGTTTGGTAAAGAGAGCTGGGGTCTCTGAGGACAGGGAATAGCAAACATGGGAACGCCCAGCTGCCCTGCCCAGTGGCTTCTCCCGCCAGCAGCCTGGGAGGCTGGGCGCCGTGGGGCGTGGTGTGTCCGGTCAGGGGTCTGCTGGCTGCAGGGTGGACAGGCCTGCATGGGGGCCCGTATGTGCTCCTGTCCCCAGGAGCGGTGGACGGGATGGGGCCGTGGGGAGTCGAGCATCCACGGGACTGGATTTGGTGTGGCCATCACCAGAGGGCACAACGCTGGAGTCCGGGGGCAGGGGCTGAGTGTGGAGTTTCTCTTGCTCTCTGGGCCTCCCCCTGCAGGTTTGCCATGAAGCGATGTGACTCTGCTGGCAAGCAGGAGCCTGGGCCCTCCTGGAGCAAAAGCCCGGGAAGCCTGATGCCATCCACAGAGGCCGAGCAGGCCGCCAGCGGCCCTCGGCTTCCTTTGAATTCAGCCGGGCTCAGCCAGGGCGATGTGAGCCATCAGGACGAGACAGCCAGCCTGGGGGCCGGCCTCACAGACGCTCAGACAGAGCAGATCCTGAAGGAGCCCTCACCTGCCCCTTTTGTTCCTTTCTCGGGTGGAGGACAGCGGCTGGGGGGCCCCTCCGGGTCCGCAAGGCCTCTCATGTCATCTTCAGCCAAATTGCCAAAGTCCTTCTCCAGCCCTGCGGGCCCCTCCAAGCCGAAGAAGTCAAGGCCTGGCCAGGAGCCCCAGCCGGAGCCGGAGCCGGAGCCGGTAAGGGCGTGCTGGGCGCCGGGGTCCTTTGTCTGTGGCCTGACCTCCGGCCGGTCAGCCTGGGGTACAGCAGGGTTGCTGGGCGCGTTGTCATCGTCTCTGGGGAGCGCTCTTGGGGTTTTGTTCGGTCTGAGATCAGCTTCGTTGAGTCATCATTTTAGAAATGCAGGTGGGTAGGTTTTGGCAAACCTGTGTGTCCCCATAGCCACGTCACAGCCGGAGAACCTGCCTCCTGGCACTGCCACTTTCTGCCTGGGCTGCTGGCTTTGGCTGGCTTTTGACGTGAAGGAGGTTTGGCTTTGACTGTCCCACACCACGCTTACCCCTGAGCCGGGCATCCCCCCAGCTCCCCCGCTGTCTGCGCCACCAGCCCGTGGGCGTGTGGGGCGCTCCCTGAACAGGCGGGAGAGGGCGAGTTTGCTCCCCCTTCACAGGCGTTGTGGGTGGGGCCTTGGGCGTCTCCGGCAGGGACTGGGGCGTGGAAGCGCCTGGCCACCCTGAGCCGCAGCTGGGAGGAGGGCTGCAGCTCTCCCTGAGCTGGGATGAACTGGCCTGGGCCCTGGGCTGCCACTTTGACGTCTTCTCTGTGTGGTTAGCTCTGTTGAGGTATAACTTACTGTGTAGACACCACCACCAGTTTTGCAGTGTTGGGCAGGTTTTGCCAGCAGCACGTTGTCTTCGATGCTGAGTCTGTCCTTGAGTGCCTCGGGCTCCAGCCGTCCCTGTCCCACCCCCTCCCCCATAGTGATGCCCACCCCTGTCCACTGCTCTGACCGCAACAGACATGAGCGATGGAAGGCGTCCTGCAATTTGGGTCACATTGAACAGGCAGTGACGGGTCAGGGAGTGGCCCCTCGAGCAAGGGCCCCCCCCCAGGTGGGCGACACTTCTGCAGGTGGCTCTTGGCATCGCACCAGTGTCTTCCACCCCTCCATCTGATGGTGCCGGTCTGGTGGGTCAGGCTGCCCTGGCCCGTTGCAGCCCTGTCGGAGCATCTAAGCTAGGGGACAGGCCTGAGCCCCTGTGGGGTGTTTTCCAGCTGGATGCTGGTGCAGGACCTTCTTCAGTAGGGCTGTCACAAGTCATACGACTGAGCTTCCACTGCCTTCTGGGGTCCCTCCATGTGACTGCTCACTGCACAGTGCTCACAGACCCTGCTGCCAGTAGAGGCATGTGGATTCCCCAGCACTGGGCTGCCCACCTCCTGGGCTTGGCCCCTGAGGAGGCTCCGGGGGCTGGAAGGCTGTGGGCTTGTTGCTTCACTGGTTCCAGCAGTGCTTGGCTTCACTTGGAGTCTCTGCAAGTCATGTCAGTTTTGTTTTTTGTCTTGATGCTCTTCCTTCTCTCAAGTGTTTTCTTGTCATGTCGCAGTGGCTGGGCCTCTGGTGTCTGTTGACTGGCAGCCAGTTCAGTGGGCGTCCCTGCTTGACCTTGACCATGACGTTGGAGGCAGTAGTTTACCTGAAGGATGATGTGTGCTGTGGAAAAGCCTTTATCAAGTCAGGAGTTCCTATTCCCACCGTCCTGAGAATTTTTCTTTATTGTAAGCGGGCTATAAAGCTTTATGAGCTGTTTTTCCCACGTCGAGATGACCCCATGTCTTCTTCCTCCTTCAGTTTGTTTGTGTGGTGAGGTCCTGGGTCGGTTTCCCCCATAAAGCCGTCCTTGCCTTCCAGGTATCCGTCCCGTTTCAGTGATGGTGTTAGCAACACTGCTGGTTGTGGTTAACTAACGTTTTAGTTCTGGAGCTCGCCGCCTGCATCCTGTCTCCTCTGGGGCCTCCTCCTCACTCTTGCCTCCAGGTCACACCCCTGGGGATGGGGGAGGGTTGGGCACCTGTGCCTGCAGGGCCTAGTTGGGGGGGGGGCTTGGCCGTGGGACAGAGCCTGGATCCCTGCCAAGGGGCAGGCGCCGGGACCACTCCTGTTCCCTGAGCCCCCCTTTGTGTGTTCTTGCTGAATGGACAGGGGAGGGGTGGGGGACCCAGGCAGTCCCCCTGACAGGTGTGCATCCTGGGGAGGTGGCAATGGTAGTGCTCTGGCCCTCTGGGGACCCAGTAGCTTCTACGCTGGTGTATGGACCCCATTAGAAACAGCATGAAGTCCCCTGTCTCACAGCCTGGACCCTGAGATCAGCCATCAGAAGCGAACACTTGTGGTTGGGGCCTGACTCCCACCGGACCTGCTCTCTCTGGAGGCCCCAGGGTTTGGGGGCCAGAAATCTGGTGCCAGGGCTAGCTGTCACTTTCTCCCACCCTGAAGGCTGCAGGTCTCTGTGTCTCTTGGGAACCTGCTGGTGTCTGGGGGGCTGGTGCTGGCCCGGGATGTGGTTGCTGTCCAGGGGCAGTGTCCCAGTGCCTCCCCGAGCACTGACCCCAGGGGCTCCAAGAAGGAGGGGTCCCGGGGACAGTCCGCCTGGCTGCCAGCAGTGCGTGTCTTTGATCTGGGAGCCCCAGCAGCTGGTTGATTGTGGAGCGTCCCCCGCCCGCCTGCCTCACGCCTCCTGTCACTGACAGCCGCACACCCGGGGGCCCGGCCAGCCACATGGTGTCTGCTTTGTGTCCCCTTAAGTCCTGGGGGAGGGGAGAAGGGAACAAAACAGAACTTTTGGGGGAACTTCAAAGGTACACTTTAGTAATCAAAAAGAGTTTCCAAGTTCCCCATTAATGTTTTGCCTGTGTGTGGTTTTGGATTTGAATAGAGAGTCAGAAGAGACAGGATAAAATGCAGGCAGGTCCTCGGCTGAGGCCCGGGATGGTTTACAGACCCGGGCGGCTACCGCCTTTGATCTCAGAACGTTAATTATTAGAAGGTAGTTTTACTGGCCGTCAGAGCCGGGTGCGGGGAGAGGCTGGGCTGCCCAGCGGCCCCTGGCCTGTCCTTTGAAGTCCTCCCGCTGGCCCCGGAGGCCGCCCCGCAGCCCTTTGTGCTGCCGGTGTGATCCCAGCAGGCGTCCCCCCACGCAGCTGGCACAGGGGTCTGTGATCAAAGGCCCCGACCCCCTGGGCAAGGCGGGCGCTGACAGTGGTCCCCCCCCTTCACCTTCCAGGGGGTGGTCTCGTCTGCTGGAGACGCGGCCCCAGGGTCTCGCCTGGCACTTTGCACCCTGCCTCAGGCAGGTGTCAGCCTTGCCTCCTGCTCCCTGCTTTACTTACAGGCAGGTTTAGAACACGGGGCTGGGAGGAGCCTGGCCAGAGCCTGGGGTGCCTGTCTGTGACGTGCCCCTCAAGGGCACCCCCGCTTCCCCCCATGTGTGGCCCCAGGTCACAGTGCGGGCCTGGCCCTGCCCTGTGGGTGGATGCCCCCTGGGTGCCGGTGGCGGCCCAGGGGCCCAACTGTCCTGAGAAGAACAGTGTTGGCTTCAATTGGAATGCCCGCCGAGGTTTGCTGGCAGACGGGTCCTTGGCTTTGAAGGTCCCGGCCAAGTCTTGAGGCAGTTTTTAAAGCCCGGTGACAGGCAGGTTCCCCTCCAGCTGTCTCTGTCCTGCCGGGTCTCAGTCACGATGACTCGGGGAGAGATGGGTGTCGAGCCTGCGAGCCACAGTGGACGGTGGGTGCGTGGGCACCCGGGCCCCCCTGGTTTGCATTACCCGGTCCAGATCAGCGCACAGAGCTCCCTGTTGGGATTGCTCCTGGCCCTTTGGTCCACGGTGTGCGTCCACCCCCTGCGGCTCACGGACCTGAGTGCCCAGTTTCCCTGGGCTCCCTGGGGGCAGCTGCCAGGTGTGCGGGTGAGGAGAGCCTCCCCCATCGTGCCCCGTGTCTGCTCCTTCAGTCCTTTGGGGGTTTGTGGACCTTGTGCCCGGACACGTGCACCCGGCCACACCAGGCGCCTGGGAGCAGCCCCGCTTCAGACGGTACCCGCGTGCCACCCTGGCCCAGCCTTTCCAGCTCCGGAAAGCTCTCCCCTCGTTTCTTCTGCTCGAGGAGGGGCGGGCCCGGGGGTGGACGCCAGCCCAGGGCGGGCGGGCCAGGCGCTCGGGTTCAGGGTGCAGGGCTGTCCGGTCAGTCAGCCTCGTGCTGGCTCGGCGCTCCTTCCAGAGGGCGGCTGGCTCTGGGAGTGACAGAGGTTTGGCCCGCGTCCCTGGAGTAGTGATTCATTTAAGCTCCAAGCCTCAAGGGAAAAGGCTTCATGTTCCCTGTTACCAAAAACCATTGTCAGAGGAGAGTCTGGGCTGAGAGGGAGGCCTGTGGGCCGGCGGGAGGAAGACAAGCGCCCTCACGAGGAAGCTGGAAGATCTGGGGTTGAGGTCACCTCCACATATTTTTCACATTTTTTCTCCGTGTGTCATCATGTCCTGGAAAATTACCGTCAAGAAGATGAAACCGCAGCAGCAGGGAGGCCGCTTCTGACATGAGGGGACCCCGTGTGCCCAAGCGGGTCGCCGCTGGAGCACGTCCTCTGGCTGTCCCCTCCGGGCCTGGCCCTGCCCATGCCTGGGGCCACACTGACCTCCGTAGGGCAGAGGGCAGGCAGTGCGTCACACCTCCCTCCCCGGGGTCTCCCTTGAAGGGTCTTCCTGGTGCGGCGGGGCTCCTCTGAGGCATCAGTCACCAGGTCCCCACATCTCAGCGGCCCTGGGCCTCTGGACACCCCCCGCAGAGGGTGCCCCTGTCCCTCCCAAGCGCCCTCTGGGCCCCTCGTGGGTGTCAGCCCAGCAGTCTGACCCATCCCACTCTGTCTGGTTTTCTGGGTATCCTCTTCTCCGTAAGACCCTCGCGGGAAGCTGGCACCTGGGAATCTTTGCCAGGGTTGTGTGCTTGCGGGAAAGAGAGCCCCTGCCAGGCTTTTCGCCAGAGGGGTCCGGTCCCTTGTGGCCCCCCCTCGGAGCCTGCAGACCAGCCCCTCCTCCCTGCAGGATGGCGTCCAGGCCTGTTCCCCCTCGTTGGACACGGTCACTTAGATGCCACTCCGTGGGCTGAGACCCTGGCTCCGGCTGCATCCTCACTATTCTGCCCCTTCTCTCGCGGATAGCAGCATCTGGGCCACTGAGGGAGGGACGACTCCTCTGACTTTGCTGGGGTAAAGGATTGGGCGGGAAGACGCAGCTGGAGCTGTGTCTCTGGAATAGACAGCGCTCAGGAGCCCAGCCTTGAGCCAGTGAGGAGGGAAGCCCATGCGTTTGCTGGAATGTCCCAGGCCTGGTGATGTCGAGTTCTTGGTGGGGGCGCGTCCTCCACGGGGCTCCCTGGACACCTCTGGAAGAGCAGACCTGGAGATGCGGGCTATGAAGGCCAGCCGCTCCGCAAGCGTCCCTGGGCACCAGCTGGGACATTCCTCTTGGAGCCCCGTCCTGGGCCCCGGGACTGGCCGCGGCCAGCGCACAGGAGCCCGCGCCCCGTGGTGAGGGTGGTGGTGGTGAGAGAACAGACGTGAATGACTGTTGCCGCCACATGGGTGTTTCTTTCTTAGTGACGTGTCATCCTAGACGTCTGTTCTCCGTTGACAAGCATCTCTGTAAACCCACCTAGGATGGGAGCCATGCGTGATAACTGCCCGCGACCGGGGGAAGCGGGTGAGGCAATAGCGAATGGGGGCCAGGTGGCTGGCCAGGCGTCGGAAGTGAGCGGGGCCTGGGCTCGGCCTCCCCCGGCACAGCGTCTGCCCCACTCGCCCCACGCAGAGCTGCAGGCCCACCCCTCTTGTCTCTGCAGGGAAACGTCTCTGTTACGCGGGCCACGTGGAGGCGTGTAAAGCCCCGTGGCTTCTCCCTTTGACAGCTGGGTGACCGTCCTACCTGCCCAGCCACAGATGGCCATCTGTTCTTGTGGGACAGGGTCTGCCCAGGGCTGGACATGGTGGCAGCTCTAGGACTTGGGTGGTCTGGGCCCTGGTGGGCAGCAGAGGCTGCTCGGAACCCCGGCTTCTCTGCCCAGAAGCGGGGAGGCCCCTGGGGTGCAGAGCGGTGCAGGTGAGTGTGTGAGACTGCTTCTCAAGGCAGCCCCTTCAGCTCCGGGCTCCTCTGGAGCAGAGCAGCGGCCTGGAGGAGGGGTGGGATCGAGGTTGGAGCCAACACAGAGAGAGATTTTTGTCAGTTTATTTTCTGATGGGAAGTCAGTGGTCCCTGAGCAGCTTGAAGCTAATGGCTGTTGTCACCTGCATCCCTGTGCTGGAAGGGGCCTCGGGGAGCGGGCCGTGGGCTGGGGGTTGTGGGCAGTGCTAGCGGCCTGCAGTCCCCACGGTCACCACGGGCTGTGCACTGGCAGCACCGGGATGGCGCGGAGGCCGGAGTGGCCTTCTCCTCTCAGGGACAGGCTTCACTGGCCGTGTCTGGATGGTCAGCCTCAGCTCCGTGCCCTGGAGCGCATGTCACCTGAGTGCTGGGTTCTCCAGGGGGCTTGTGTGTCCGGGACTGCCAGGGTGGGATGGGGACAGGGCGGCCCCAGAGCCCGCGCCTTGGCCTGTGGGCTTTGTGCCCCAGGGCCCGGGGCCTGGCACTCGTGGGCATGGCAGTGCCCTGCTCGGCACACCCGCGTCCGCCCTCGTCCTCCCCGAGGAGCCCAAGCGAGCACTCAGCCCCTCTGGAATGCAGGCGCCGTGGCTGTGGGGGGCAGCCTGGCGCCTGGCATCTTGTTATAAAAAGCTCTGGTGTGGACTGCCTGCGGGCTGCAGGAGGATTGTGGCTCTGAGGGGGCAGCCCCCAAGGGCCTCTGTCAGCCACCTTCGGGCCCCGCTGCGCGGGCCTCAGCCACCCCTTCCTGGCCACCCTGCCCCAGTGCCCTGAGATCAGAGGGGTGTCCTGGCGAGCGCCCGCCTCCCTCCATCGTGAGGTGTGGCGCAGCTGGTGGCCTGGATGGTGTGGCTGGGGGAGTGGCCCCGGGGACACCTGGCAGGTGCACTGGGGGAGTGAGCTCCTGACTGCCGGGCAGCTTTTGCCCTCGACCAGCATGGGAGCCCTTTAGAACAGGTGGGGCTGCGGCCAGGCTGAGGAAAGGATGGTCAGAGAAGCCTGCTGAGCCGTCCCTGGGTGTCGAGAGGCGGGAGGCGGGATTTTCTTGCCGAGGCCGGGACGGGGCAGTGAGCAGAAGGCACCATGGCCTCACCCCAGAAGGCTCATGGACATTTTGTGGAGGGAGGACTGCCAGCCCTGCTGGACGCCTTGATCAGGCCTGGTCTCCCCGTGGTCGCGCGGGAGACACTCGCTGCAATTAGCCCCCCAGAGGCCCTGCAGGCCTGGCAAGCCTGCCTTGTAATTTCCATCCCCATTGCTGCCAATTAGGAGGGACGCCGTCCCTTCCTGTGTCCCCAGGGTGGTCAGAGGGTGGGGCCAGCCTGCTCCCCCAGGGAGGGGGTGGGTCAGCCTCGCCATGGGGCCAGCGGCTAGCAGGGTTCTGCCAAACCTCTAATTTGGGGGCTGTTGCTTCCCCGCCCCTCCCATGGAGCCCCTGACGTGGCCTTGACCAGGGTGCTGCTCCCCAAGTTTGTCCCCTGCTTTGGGGGACCCTGATAGCGGGCAGCCCCCGGGGGCTCATGGGGGCCTCCCTCAGAGACAGGAAGTGAGCAGAGGTGCTGCCAAGGGAGGCTGGCCCTGCTGAGCTGCCGCCCACCCACTGCCCAATACCCCAGCCATGAGGGTGTCACGAGGTACCTGCTGGCCCAGTCTAGCCGAGACCCCAGGACCACATGCCTTGCTGGTGGGTGAGGATCTCAGCATTGGTGTGGCTGAGCGGGCAGGCTCGGTGATCCCACATCCCACCCTGGAGACCTGGCCCTGGCCCTGGGCCCATAGATGGGGCCAGCCGTGGCCTGGGCTCAGCCTGGGTCTGCATCAGCACCCCAGTCCCGTGGAGTAAGGGCCTGGGCCCGTCCTGGGCACCTGTGTCAGCCGAGCCCTCCGCCTGCCCAGCCAGTGGACCGAGACCCCGTGGTGTGCCACCCCGACCTGGAAGTGCTGCTCCAGGCCTGGCCCTCAGAGCTGCCTGACGAGTTCTTCGAGGTGACCGTGGACGACGTCAGGAGACGCTTGGCCCAGCTCAAGAGCGAGCGGTGGGTGCGCCTTGGCCCCCTCTGGAGGCTCCCTGCTGCCCAAGTCTGGGTCCCCAACACCCATGCCCTGGCAGCTCTGTGGAGGGGCGGAGCCCGGGCAGGGGCTCCCACCCGGCCTTGCGTGCTGGAACAGCTCTCGAAGTCCACCTGGTGTGGGGCCTCCGCTGTGCCCGCACAGGCCTGGGCCTTCACCCCGCCCCTCCCCTCAGGAAGCGCCTGGAAGAAGCCCCCTTGGTGACCAGGGCCTTCCGGGAGGCTCAGATGAAGGAGAAGCTGCAGCGCTACCCCAAGGTACGCGGGGCGCGGGTCTGCATGTGGCTCTGCTCCCGCTGCCCGAGCGCTTCTGGCCGCGGTCCCCTGCCTCAGCCGAGGACTGCACGCTCACGGTTCCTGAAGAACAGTCAGCCCCACCTTAAGTTGAAAAACATGGGTTCTTGGCTTGTCTTCATGTGCAGCTCGTGGCCGGGGCGTCGGGGCAGCCGAGCTGAGGGGGCGGCTGGCCCAGTGTGCGTTGGGAGGCCCCTCGTGGTGGGCCCACCTGTGCAGCCGGGCTCTGGCTGGCCTGCTGACAAGCCACCTGTCCCGGCCCAGGTGGTCCTGAGGGTCCTGTTTCCTGACCGCCACGTTCTGCAGGGCTGCTTCCGCCCCAGTGAGACCGGTGAGCGCCCGGGAGGGTGGGGACCCTGTGAGCCCCTCCCGGCTCCTTCCTTCTGGGCTGTGGGACTGTGGCTGCTCGGCCGTCGGGCTCTGGGGCTGGCTGCTTTCAGGTCCCTGTTGTCTCTGTGGGGTAGCCAGCAGGCACAGGCCGGCTGGGCGGCGACCGTGGGCCTGTGCCTCCGTGAACCCGCCTGCCTGGGGCGTGGGTGGGAGGGGGCCCAGAGAGGGTGGGCCCATGGCTCCCCACACCCAGCAGTGGTTTCTTGGCCTGGCGCGGCAGCGATGCCGCCGTTCTGAGCGGGGTACCTGGTGACCTGGACCCAAGGCTGCAGGGGCGGCAGGCAGGCCCTCGAGGTCCCTGGGGGGGCCTTCCTGGGGCAGAGCTCAGGCTCTGGTGGTGGGCAGGGCGAGAGGCAAAGGGAGGGATGTCCCGCTGGCCTGGCTGCTGGGGGCGCCGGGCGGGAACATGCTTGGATTCAGCCTGAGGGGGCATTAGGTTCTATACCTCCAGGGTCAGACTGCTGGGCCTGTAGGGGGTGGGGGTCTGCACAGAGGGGCCTGGCCCTGGAGCTGGCCTGAATTTGGGGTCCCCACTCACTCCGTGCTTCCTCCTTCAGTGGGGGACTTGCGGGACTTCGTGAGGAGCCACCTGGGTGACCCCGAGCTGCCGTTCCACCTGTGTGAGCGTGTCTCTGGGCCCTCCTGCTCAGCAGCCCCCGCCCCTCCCAGCCCAGGCTCGAAGCAGCCTTTCCCAAGAAGCGGCGTCACCGGGCACACGGGTCCCATGCTGGGGACCCAGGGTCGGGGAGGGAGGTTGGCCTCTCTGCCCCCTGCGTCCTGCCCAGACCCTCTCTCCCACTCTCCCGCGGTGGGTGTCTGGGTGGTGAGGGGTCACGCCACAGGACTGCACGGGGACAGTGCGAGCAGGGGTCCCCCGCAGGTGGGTCTGCCCCAGGCCCTCTCCCTAGCCTGTCGCTGGGTTTTTGCTGCCGCAGACAGTTGGACAGGGTGCTGTGGGCTGATGGGGCTCTTCAGAAACCCCTCCCCTGAGGCCATGGCTCCCAGGCCTCCTCACTCTCAGATCTGTCTTCCTTGGGGGCGGGGGCGGGGGGCTTCCTGACACAGACAACTGTCCACCTGTCTGTCCGTAGTCATTGCTCCTCCGAAAACCATCCTGGACGACCACATGCTGACCTTGTTTCAGGTACTGGCCGCCTGCTGGGCTGGGGGCGCTGCTGGGGCTGATGCTTGAGGGGCAGCCGCCCAGGAGTGGGAGAAGGCTCTTTAGAGGGGGCACTGCAGGGAGCAGGGCACCTCTCAAGTCGGTTTTGGGGTGGTTTGGGGGCTTTCCAGCCTTCTCTGCTATTCCTGTCCCGGCAAGGATGGGCCTGCCTGGCTGGCTGCCGGCACCCGCAGCCAGGACTGCCTCTGGGGTCTGGGTGAGAAGGGACTGGCACATGGGGCGGCCAGGGGAGCTCCTGAAGGGTCAAGGGTCAGAGGCCTCACTGCAGGTTGCCGGCTGCCCAGGAGGGCCCTGGTATGCCAGCTGCTGGGCAGGTTTGGCTCCAGGCTGGAGGGGACGCTGCCAGGCCTGCTGCCCTGCCCCGCCTTTCCTCCCGGACCCGCAGCCTCTGTGGGGAATGCCAAGCCGGCCCTCCCCACTGGCTGGAGGCCCCAAGTGCTCCGGGGTGCGGAGCGTTGATCCGGTGCCCTGCTGGGCTGCTGTCCAGAGCTGAAGGAATGTGCTGTCCCTTCACCCCGGGAGAGCAGCCGGGGCCTCCCCAGCCCTCTGGCCTAATGGTTTCCTCTTCAGAGTCTCTTCAGATATTTTAATTAGTAACAGAGGCTGGTCTTTGTTAAGTGACCGGTGGCCCTGCAGAGGTTGAGTTGGGGCGAGGGGGTCTGCTTCCCCAGGGCAGCCACCATAATGGGGGGTGGGGCCAGACCAGCAGAGAGGCTGGAAGCCCACCAAGGAAAGGAGTCTAGGTCGGCGGGGGCAAGGTGCCCCCCCCACCCCTGTTCCCCCTCCCAGCCCCCTTCTGCAGTGCCCAGGAGCCCCAGAGGCACTGGGCCTCTTTCCTCTGTCCCCACCCGCCTGCCTCGCTCTCCCTCGCTGGCCAGCCTGTTGATAAACATTGAATTTGGAAGATGCTTTGGGATGGAGGGGACCAGTGTTCAGGCCCCGCTCCGATTAGGAACCCTGGGGTGCTGCCTGTCCCGCCCACTCGGCCTGATTCCTGGTGACACTCTGCCCCCTGCTACCAGCAGCCGTCTCCTTTCATCCGTCAGCTCGCTCTGGAGCCGGGGGCCCTCTGCGCAGGGTGGTGTCCCTGCCTGCCTGTGATCAGAGAGCTGGCAGGGCCCAGGGAAGGAAGCCTTCCTCCCTCCCGCGGGTGAGCAGGCGCGGCGCGGAAGCCGCCTGCTTTCATGTCCCTGGCAGGGCTGCTCTCTGGCTGCTGGCTGCCCCGGGTCCAGTCCTGCACTCCAGAAAGTGACAGCTCATGGTGGGTGTGGGGGACAGCAGCCCAGCTGCCCTTTTTGGCCGCTTGATTGGAAGAGTAACCATTTGCTGGGCGAGGCGGAGGGTGAGGCCGAGGACAGGAGGCCGCCATCTGTGGATGCAGAGGTCCCCAGTGCCCATGTCCAGCCTCCTTCCCAAGCCTGAGCCCCCTTGGTGCTGGTGCTGCCGCAAGCATTAAGGGCCTCACTTCACCCACTGCCTGGCCCAGGGCCCCAGCATCACCCTTAGCGGTCCACCGCAACCTGTGGCGGCCTCGTCAGCCTGAGCAGAGGGGTAGACCTTCCTTCCTGGTAATCATGGTGGTCTTCTGTGCTGTTTACCCCCTTTGTTTTCTGTTGGGAATCCCGAGACGCAAGCTGGTGGGCAGGGGGCTTCCGGCAGGTGCTGAGGGGGAACAGGGAGTCTGGGTTCAAGAGGAGCTGCCCAGAGGAGCCCTTCAAGGCTTCAGGCTCTGTGGCCCTGAGACAGCCCTGCTGGCTGGGTCTGGGTGAGGTCCTGTGAAATGGGGATGTGGCACCATGAGGGTGGCCCCATTGCCTGGTGGGTTGGCTGAGCCAGGGTCTGGCCTCGCTGGCCACCCGGGGAAATCTGGGCCTTTGTCCTCCCTGTGCCCCTTCCTGCTCCCCAGCCACTGCCCTGCTGCAGTGCCTCCAGGGCTTGAGGGCAGCCCCTGCCCCAGACTTGGATCCTGAGCATCACAGTGGGGCCTTCAGAATATTCACTGGTCTTGGAAGCTTCCTCTTGTTGATGCCCCGGCCTGACTCCAAGCGCTGGGAGCTGAGGGCACAGAGGACGTAGTCGGCTGACAGTGGCAGCCCTTCTGCAGAGGACTGGGGCTCGCAGCCACGGCCTTCCTCGGGTGCAGGGGCAGGATCAGAGGCAGGTTACGACCCTGGGGGCTCTGGGGTCCTCCCTGCAGTCCTGAGTCTGCACCACAGTCCTGCCCCTGGCCTGGGAGGCCTCCAGGGAGTCAGGGGTCATGTGATGTGTCCTTGTCCCACACCTGTACAGGTGCCACCACTCCCACGGGTGGGATCTCAGGAGGGGCGCTGTTCCCAGGCCCCCAGAAAGGGTGTGGGGACCCAGCGCAGGGAGGAGCTTCAGCTGGCTGACACTGGCTCTTCCTCACCAGGCAAGACCTGGTGCCGAGTCAGGGAACCCACATGTGGGCTCTTGAGTCTAGGGGGTGGATCAGGCTGGCATCTCTTGGCCTGGGACTCCAAGAGCCCCCACTGCCCCATGCCAGGGCCAGTTGAGGGTCCCCCCAGGGCGCTCCTGTCCCTGTGGAGGCCCCCCTCTGCCTGCCACCCTCTCTGTTCTTTGGGCCACGCAGGTGAGGTGGGGGGCAGCGGAGGAGTTCTGTGAGTGTCTGCATTGTCTCTGATCTCTGACCTCTTGCTTCCTGCTGAGGCTGGGGGCTTCCAGGCCTAGTTCCCGCATTCAGAGTATTAACTTCACCCCGGAAAGCGGGCAGGAAGGAGGAGCGGGAGTTAAAATGCCAGAGCACACAGACCACGAGTGCTTCCTGTTCAGTAGGGGCTGGCCCCAGCAGGTCCCTGCGGTCCAGTGCCACCGCCTCGATCGCACAGTGGTTGGTGCCCGAGAAGGAACAGGCGAAGCTGGGCCACGGGCTGTTCGGTGGGAAGGGCCTGGCGGGTGCAGCGCCCACGAGGCCACCCGTGGAGCGGGTGCAGCCCTCTCCACCACCCGCCCGCTGTGCCCGCCTGGTCCCTGAGCCCCTCTGCGCCCCCCGCAGGCTAACCTCTTTCCTGCTGCCCTCGTGCACTTCGGACCCGAGGAGCCGACAGGTGGGTGGGGGCCCCTTGCTCTGCCCACCGCCGCCGGCCAGCCCTGGGTTGCACGTTGCAGCTCGTCAGATGCCCCAGAGCAGCGGCCTTTAGGTCTGGGAGGGAGACCTCTGGCCCCGGATACCCCCGTACCCTACTCCCTGGGGGCTTCAGGGTGGGACAGTCACCTGTCCTGGCCATGCCCCCTCCTGGAGCCGAGCCGCAGGGAGGTGAGTAGGGCCAGCTCCTCAGTGGCCTGAGCCTTCTGCAGGCACCTACCTGGAACCCAGGCTGCTGGAACACACCATCTCCCCGTCTGCAGCTGACGCGCTGGTGGCCAGGTGAGTGCCCAGAGGAGTGGGGAGAACCCACTGCCGCAGTCCCCGCCATCCTATGCCAGCATCTTTGCCCTCAGGTGCATGTCCAGGACAGCCGGGACCCCACCACCGCCGCCACCGCCGCCAGCCTCCGACCCTGTGCCCTCGGAGTCAGAGCCGACTGCTGAGGAAGGGGCCGTGGAGCCCCCCGAGCCCGGCCCCCGGATGGCCCAGTCTGCAAGGAGGGGTCTGGGCAAGGTGCCCAAGTGGCTAAAGCTGCCAGGTCCCGTGGGGGCAGCTGGGCGGGGAGAGGCTGCTGGGCGGGAGCCTGGAGCCCGAGGTCACCCTGTGCGTTTGCACTGCAGCCGGCAAGAGGTGAGCGCCGCCGGCCCAGAGGTGCCCAGTCTGCCGGCCACAGGACCCCTGCCCACCCTGAGCGGGAATAAAGTCGCGAGCTTCTCTCGAGACCCTCCTGTCGTCCTTCCCTGGAGAGGGCTCTTTCGTCCTCCGCCCTGCTCCCACCTCCCAGCCACGGGCCTCCAGCCAACCCTGGGGCTGGATGGGCCACATCCTGGCCGGGCTGGGCCCTGGGCCTCCTCGCTGGGGCCTTGGTCTCTTAATGGGCACAGGTGTTCTCCCTGAACCTTAGTTTTTACCTGACGTCATTAATTACGCACTGAGAACTCAGGAGAAGGACCTCCAGGCACGGCCTGCCTTGGCTGTGCCGCAGGCGGCAGGAGCCAGGAGGCTGCAGCCCCCACCCAGCAGGGCGGGGCTGGCCTGGGGTTTCCCGGTGCCCCGCCCGCCCCACATCTGAGTGCACTTCAAAGTGTCCGTGGGGCACGGGCTCTGGCACTGGTCGCCAGCCTCTCCCCTCAGGTCTAATTACTTCCACATGCACCCAGAGCTTTGAAGCCCCAAGACTCCCTGCCGGGAGCGGGGAGAGGAAGGTGGGGGGCAGAGGCGGGGAAGGGGTGCAGGGGAAGCCAGCAGGACTAAATTAGGGAGGGAGGGCTTGCCCCGCCAACCATGCCATCTTTGGGTGGGGACATGGCTCCTCAGGTGCCCGTGGCTGCAGGGAAGCCATTGTCCCTCCCCAGTAAACCAGGTCCTCTGACTCCGGGGTCGCTGGGCCCAGGGACCCTCTGGGTCCTCCTGGGCTCCAAGGAATCCAAGACTTTCAGAATTCACGGGAGGTGGATGCTGTGGCCTGCAGGTGGCCTGGCCAAGCAGGAGGAGGTCCCAGAGGGCAGCCAGGCTTTGCAGACCCAGCTTCTCGCAGGTCCCAGGCAGGTCCCAGGTAAGCGTGGCCGGGTCAACCTGCCTGGCCCTGGAGTTGCCCCGGGCCAGCGGTCCTTCCCAGGGGTGTGACCCCCAGCAGCCCTGCCCACATGTTCCTGGGCCTGCCTGCCGGCCAGCAGTAACACCCCACACCCACAGCCGCCCTGTGGCACAGGCACCATCCCGGGCGAGCAGCCACACGTGTGGGGCTCTGCGCGAGCGCCAGGCCCGTGCACGGCAGGATGCTCACACGTGAAGCAACTCGACTTGGGGTGATTAATGGCAACAGGAGGCTGTGCCTGGGGAGGTGGCTTTGATTTATTGACGTTGCTTTGTGGGAACAAACTTAGAGTTCAGGGCAGCATCTTCTGGGAGGAACATCAAATGGCTTGAAGGTGACTTACGAACTTTGATGTCAGTGCAGAACCACGCACTTCCGTTTGTCTGCGGGGTACATACGGGCTAACTGCTTGGGCAACGGTCCCGCTCTTCCTGGCACCTGCTCCCCAAAGACCAAGTGCTTCTCAGCTGCCCCAGGAGGCGCAAGGGGAGGGCACCTGCCCAGGTTCCCCACTCAGGCCCCCATCCTGTCAGTGACCCCCCATCTGCTGTGTCCAGGCTGTCAGCAGCAGGGAGAGAGGACAATGGGGAAGGGCGGTGCGCTTGCTGGGACCTGGCCAGTCTTCGGAGCTGGAGAACCTGGAGGATCAGCAGCTCCCGCCCCGTCTGAAGCCAGAAGCCATGGAGAACACGTGGACATGGGACTTGCTGGTGACTCGGACAGGCTGCCAGTGAGGGTGGACACCCCTAGAAGTCCAGAAGCTGTGGAGGGAGGGGCACTCAGGGCCTCGTGGGTGCGTGCCAGCTCATCCCCCACACCCCCTCCGCCAGGCCTTGTTGCCGGAGGCCCACCTACCAGCTGAGGCAGCACTTTCTCCAGCTGGTCCACGTCCACGCAGCCCAGCTCCTCCGCCTGGGCCTGCCGCACGCTGCGGATGGCTGCTTCTACCGCAACACAGGAGGGAAGTAAGGCTGGGGGGCTGGAACCCCAAACCCCCCAGGCCTCAGTCCTGGTGGCTCCTCCACCCCTGTGCCAGCTGACAGCTCAGAAGACAGCCTGAGGCCACTGAAACACGGGGCTTTCCAGGGACACAGCTTAGGTGCTCGTGGGAAAAATGGGAAAAATGTTTTGGTTTCTCCACAGAAACCAGAGGGATCATGAATGGTCTGCACAGGAGCGGGTGGGACACCAGGGGACGCTGCCAGGGCCCCTCTGCTCACCTACGACAAAGATCTTCAGGAGCTCCGCCGTGAGCTGCAGTGCGTCCCCACTGACTGCAAGGTGAAGGGGGTGTTAGGGGACATGCACCCCCTCCCTGCCCCACTTCTGACCTGGCTCGGCCCTGCTGGTGCCCTTCAGCCCCCTCCCCAGCACTCCCTGAGGCCCTGGCCCCTGCAGAGCTACAGTGGAGCCCCCGGGCCTGGCAGCCCCCCAGCCCCCCCCCCCCGCCATCACACACCTTTGGTCTTGTCCTCTTTAAAGTGCAGGTGCAGCAGCTTGCTCACGAGTTCCTGCGGGAACGCAGTGGGCATCAGTGTGCCACTGCCCCCCACCCTGCCTCACCCCCGGCTGCTGCAGACCCCTTAGGCATTTAGTTCTGGATGGGATGGGGTTGTGATTTCCAGCTGGAAACGCTCTGACAGTGGGGCCTCTCCTGGGGTGGGGGGAAATCTCCAGAACCAGAAATTAGACGCGTGTGGCAGACAGGTGCCTGCCCGCTGTTTTCCGGGGCTCCAGCCCTCCTGGGATCCAGACCAGTCTGGTGCTCCTGCCCCCAGGAACCAGGTGCTCTCCCCACAGTGGCCTCTTTACAGGCCAGTCCATGCCACCAGCACTGCCTAGCTTTGCCAGACCCTGCTCCAGGCACTGGGTCAGCTCCATCCCAGGTCCCTCCCTGGAGCCTGCTGCGTGGGGAGTAAGGGAATCTTCCCGTAACAGAGAAGGGCATTGTGGGAGCCACAGAGCTGGGTAGGGGCCGGGCTCCTCCATCAATGAGCAGTCAAGATGCGGGACAAGGGGGATGGGACAAGGGGAGGTCAGGGCCAAGACTCCTCAAGGCGGAGGCTTGAGCCCTAAAGAATGCTGCCACTAAGCAGAAGTGGATTCTGGGTCCCAGCAATGCAGGCGCTCAGCTGGGGACATGTTGCATGAGGCGCCCAAGCAGAGTGGCCAGTGAGTGGCTGTGACTGAGAGAAGGTCGAAGTTGGGGGGTGAGGATCTGGGAGGTGGCCACACGTGGGTGGGCGAGGGAGGCTGCCCAGGACAGGAAGCGGCTAGAAGAGGTTGCAAATGAGCCGGCAGAGCAGAACGCCAGGGTGGCAGGAGGACACCAGCTGTGGGCACCCAGCAGCCCAGCAACAGGGTGTCATGCAGGGATGGTGAGCTGGGGACCCATCAGGCCTCTAGCCTTGGTCACAGGCAGTGGCATCCCTGGCCCAGTGCAGCTCAGTAGAGCTGAGAGCAGAGTGGAGTGTGCGAGGGAGCAGGGCTTGGGCTCGGGACGGTAAGAGCTTGCCACAGGTCACTTGGGGCAGTGGCTGCAGTGGCCTCACCCTCCCAGCAGTGACCTGTGAGCTTGGCGCCACCTGCTGGTCCTTGCTGTGTCCCTGAAAGGTACCAGAAAAGGCCCAGGGGGCTCTACTGCCCCACCTGCTCCCAGACCCTGAGGAAGAGCTAACTCAGCCAGGCTGCTGCACTGGGGGCAGTTGCATGAGCTTGTCGTGACAATTAAAGGAAGCAGCACCAGCTGGGAGAGGAGATTCCATAAGCTTGCAGAGAGCAGGATGGGATGTGGGGTGCAGTCAGCCTTTGCCCCACTGCATGGAGGTACCACGACCCCTCCCTCCCTGTCACCCTGGTCCAGGACAGCCCTGAACCTGGGTGATGACCACAACCCCAGCTCGGGCCAAAGCCCTTGGGGTGGACTCCAGGGCTGCCCAGGACCGTGGGAAGGAGGCCCAGGCAAGTGCTCCCCTCTGCAGCCGTCATGGTGGGGGGCTCCTACAACCCCGCCAGTCACCCAGTCGCAGTGATTTTCCCTTTGACATCACTAACCCCTTTCAGACCAGGGCAGAGTAGTGATCCTGGGTGATAAGAGGAAAAACCCTCACTGGGGGCTGGCTGCACAAGGAAGTGCTCACAGGGGCTGTGACCCTCCCTCCCGCCCCAGGTCCACAAAGGCCTGATGGCAAGGGCTCAGGGCCTACTGACCTTAGAGCAGGGCAACAAAGTGAGACTCAGAGCCCACTCACAGCCTGCAGGGTATGGGAGCCAGCGGACCTCGCTACCCGCCTACCCAGAGACGCACCCGCCAGGTGCAGAGCAAAGGGGCAGACTCTGGAGGCGGATGGTCCCACTGGTAAGTGGAAGTAGTGGCTGAGCAGTTAAGTGGGCTAACCTATGTTAAGTGCGTGGAACAGTGCCTGCCTGTGCGAGGTGTGGAGCTAAGAAAAGCACTGGTGGAGCCAGACACCCCAGACGACACAGCCGGCCGGACTCGGGTGAAGCGCAAAGCACAGAGCGGGCGTGACAGGGAAGAGGCCAAAAGTAAGCTTTAGAGGACGCAGGGATGTGACTACCAGCGAGCTGGGCCGCTCTCTGCTAGAGCACCTAGGGAGTCCCCGGCATTTCCGCCGGCACTTGCAGACCCTCACCCTCTTGCCGCAGACCAGGCTGCCTACCAACGTTCTGCTACCCGGCCGCGAGACCCCATCCACGGAGGATGAAGGGCGCGCGCGGTGGGGGTCGTGGCCGGATCC